GGGGGAACGGTGGCAGCCCACGTGAGAAACCGCACTTGGCTGAGGCAGACTTCTCATACTTTCTACTTTCCGACGGTGAGACGTCGTTAAGACGATCGGAGATGTGCGTGGAATCAGTGCTTGAAGGGGGCAGCTGATTACTCTACACGTGCCACGCATGACCACCTGCCTCCTATCAAGCATTTAGTTGGTTAAAGTAAGCTGGGATTTGTGAGTGCACCTCAGTGCGGGTGTCGCAAACGTCACAGCATGGATCAGCCATTGTATTTTAGCGGCCCGAGTAGTGGGAAAGCTACGATCGTCAGGTCAGGTTGGGAGTCTAAGAATAATATGGCAGATACCAGGTTATGGAGGTTAACGCATAAAGAACCGTGGGTTGCCGCCTCGCAGACAACAGTGACCGTTGGCGAGAATGTGGTGCGTATTTCTGAGAACGGAAGTCGGACTGCAGGGCCAGGCGATTTAGATGTGTGCTCACGTAAGTGGAAAGTGTGTTGTTTGGCCCCTTCTCCATATGGCCTCTATAACATTCTAACACACGTGAGCTTTGAGCAGCTCACTTAGTTTTTTGAAGACCCGATGTGTTTTATGTAGGCAGGTCGTGTATGGCACGCTTAGACGGATTTTTTAGTTCTTTTGGGCACCACGTTCGATCTCATCCCCAGTTGGTATACCAGTTTACATAACCGACTGATACACAGCAGGCGAAAGAGAGCGGGGGAAGCCGACTTCTCCATTCCCTAAGCGCATACTCCTCCCTATAAATAAACGTGCCTTTAACTAATCAGGGTGCACTAAAACTCTGACTTCGAAGGATCCACCTCAGTCTCCAATGTCTAGCACGAGCATGTCGGTTAAATAGCGATGAGGTCGGTCATGAAATAAAAAATGGCCAGGGCCGGAGCAGACATCAAGACCTCCTAAACACAAGCTAAATATGAGTATTCACAGATAGACAGAAATGAGAAGCCAGCTGTTCTCGGGTTCCTCCGCAGTCTGTAACACACAAAATTCAGGTAGCCGTAAAGTTTGCGAAATTAGTGATCTATTTTTGTGGTTGCGGTAAGTTTGTAGCAATTTAGCCCAAAAAATGTCAGAAAAAATTTCTAAACGAGCACTACGGTCAATAAATCGTCCATGTTTACATCTCTATAATCCAAAGCGTTAAATACCCTATGCAATGCGGTAATTTATATCAAGTTGCCAAAATTATGCAATTTCTGATGTTGCATTCACGGAAAACTGCTTAGAGTTACCATTGTGAATACCAGGATTTCCTTTCAGGTGCAGACAATT